CAAACGCTGCCCAGCACAGCAAGCGGGGGGGAGGGGGGGCTGCAGCTGCTGCTGCTGCCATGTGCAGCCCCAATGGGCAAGCCCAGACCCGGCACGGGGCTCAGGCTGGCAGCAGGACCAGGTTACAAGATGGTGCTGAGTGTGGTGAAAAGCGGCCCCTCACCTGCCCCGTGGCCGGTGTCCTGCACTGGAGCCGCTCACAGCCCACCTGGGGCTGCCTGTGCCTGCTCACGACAACCCCATGCAAGCTGCGAGTGGCTGCAGCAGGGAGCACTAGCCATGGGGCAGGCAAGGGGCCACTTTTCCCTGTGCTCCACACCAACTCCTTCCCTGCCTTTCCACCCCCCATCCCCCTTACCTGAGCTTCCTACTCCAGGGCAGCTACATGGTCCCAGGCCAGAAGCCCCTCCTGGGGCTTCCGGCTGGGGGGGTGGGGCCAGGTGGGCCCTGCTGTTGCAGGAGCCCACTGGGCTTCCCCTTAGGTCCTACTGTCCCTGGTTCCTGTCATTTTTTTTACAGGAACCAGGAACAGATCATTTTTAATTTAAAACAAAATTTTAGGGGCCCTGCGGGCCGGATAGAATGGCCTCATAGGCTAGGCCATATTTTGCCCACGCCTGAGCTATGCTGTTAGGAATGAGTTACAGTTTTAGATATACAGTTCATTTACAGTTTTTTAGAATATACTGAGAGACATCTTTGAAGAGGAGACAATATCAAATCTTAAAAATCCAATAATAACAGCATTAATTATCTATAAAGTTAGTGCTGTACTTTCATAACATCTCTGGATACTTACATAATATTTCTGAACATGACAGTTATACGGAAATTGCTCATTACTTCTATTTCCCATACACAGTTGGCATTGTTTGGATAATATGCAGGATAGAATGGGCTGTGAAATGTCCCAGATGAATTTGAAAGTATGCCACCACAAGAATAACTTTCTGTAGAATGAAGAAAAGATAAAAGGTATTTATGCAGGTATAATTTCTGCTTATAGCTATATTATGTTGGATCCAAAGTCACTGAAAACTCAAGGGGGAAACTGAAGGGTCCATTAACAGGAGTCAACCTCAGTATGATCAAGAACAAAAAAACTGCTGAGCACACAAACTCTTATTTCAGATTCAACACCTCTTTAAATTAAATTAAATTAATTAAATGTATTAAACTATATTGAATTAGGTATTGAATGTATAAATAGAAAACCAGGAATCTGTGCTAACGAATATATGTTCAGTTAAGAAAAATTATGATTTTTTTCCAGGTAATATTGTGGTCTTAATGTGGCAAGACATGGTGTGTGTAGATGAAATGGGGGCCCTAAATTGAAGCAGTGAGTTTTAAAAAGCACCACTTCAGTTTAGGGCTGGTTAAACCTCCATGTTGTGCACACACCCTACTGACTTACCTGCCTCTCTAGCAGTGGGGGAGGTCGAATTCCTGGCAGGCAGAGCAGTGCCTGGACTGCAGTGGGGGCTGGTGCTTCCCTCCGTGGAAGTGGCAGCCCCCTCCAGGTACCTTGCTCGGGCTGTCCCGGGGGGCACCACAGCTGTGGAGGGAAGCACCAGGCCTCTGCGTAGCTCAGGCAGACAAGCAGGCTCCTGGGGGCGGGGGGCGGGCAGGAGATCAGGCTTTCTGCTTTTCTTGGGTGGAGCCTGCCTTCCCAGGCTGCTGCCAGGCTGCCTGCAGAGCTGCGGAGCTGCACGGAGCCCGGTGCTTCGCTCCATGGCTGTAGGGGCAGTAAACTAAAACTCCTCAAAGGAGTTTTAGTTTGCTGCGCCCCAAGTCATTTAAGGGGCATTACGCTGCCAAATTTCCTACAGCAGCTGGAATTAATGCACAATATGCTGCTGAGGTGTGAAAACACTGACACTATTAAAGTGGTACAAAAGCATGTAGCCCTCTTTAAAGTGTAGTGCACACACGCCTCTTGTTTCATCTATACAACTTTCAGGGTAACTGGGTTATTCAAGATAATGTCAGGAAAAAGGTTAAACCAACCTTGGACCATAACCAAATACAGAAGAGACTTTGAAAAAGAGATGAGATCTATATTTTAGATGGCCCAAGAAAATACCAATAGTTCTCTCATCCTGTAAATATTTTACAAATAGAGATTTATACCCAGATATATAATGCACCAAGCCAATAAAGCCTGTGCTATGTCTAGCTCATCTGATTAATAAAATAAATAAAATTACTTAAAGAAACAGTGAACTAGGAAACAGTAATAAGAAATGCAGTGGTAAACTCTGTTGGGAGAAAATCCTGAAATAAACCTAGTGACATAAATGATAGTACTCTCCAAAATATTCCAACTGTCCATCATAGGCCATTCATTATCATCATCATCATTTACTCTAGTGCTATGAGCCCAGTCATGGATCAAGGCATTTTTGGCTGTGTAGGTATACAAAGTGGGAACAAAGAAAAGTATTTGTATCACAATAGTTCATAAATGTTTTGATAGCAATGCCTGTTTTAGTACACTAAACATACACGGTACTATCATCTCTCAATGCTATGTCATCATAATAGGTTTGCAAACCTCACTGATTTTCTTTCAAATGTCAGTTGCCTGCTTTGTGAAATGATTTCTAGGAATGGACATTTTTTCTTATAAAAGACAAAAACTAGAGAAAAGTTTTCAACAGTTCAAAAACTTTTTTACTTCCATATTAGTAAAGCAAATGAGAATTGCCTGTTCTGGTTACCCATGATGGTAAGGGAATTACTAGTGGTAGAAACAGTTGCTAAAAGAAGAGAGAGCAGCATGCAAATGAGGACAATTTCATTCAAGATATATGCCCCATATACCAAAACCATAAAGATGGAAGGAAAAAATCAGAAAACAAACCTAAAGCACTGTAGTAAAACAGACAGGAAAGAGATGGGTAAAAATGAAGAAAAAACATTTTTTGTCTACTGTCTATAACATCAAGGCAGCAAAGGAGCTAGCTCACCAAAAGTTAAAGCAGGGTAATTATAATTAACTTAGGTCTAAAGAAGAATACACAGTGATTCCTGTACACCAGGGTTTAAAAAATCTGCATATCTTGAAATCAATTTATTTGGGAATGAGAGGCTTGCAATGATCAACTGTAAATGTCTTCTGCAATCTGATAAATGCATGTGTTTAAGTCTAGGTGCAAGTCTTCCTAGATTCTGGAAACCAATAGGATTAACAAAGTGTTGACAATAAAGTATGTGTTTAGTATTCAACTCAACTGGGACCTTTTCAAAATCCTTGACATCCAAATATGCCACAAATATAAGCAACTGGTGGCTTAAGCCCTCAACAGGAAAGCACTACAAGCCCCTTCGAAGCTCTCTCAACTGTGAGCGTAGAGATGTTTGCAACTAAAAAATGCTTCAAAAATGGTCATTTCGCTTCAAAGAGTGATCCTTATAAAATGAGGAACATATTTGAAATGTTTCTATTTTAAGTGCTTTCTGGAAAATCTAAATGCTCCAGAGAAAAATGACAGGGGTGGCTCAGTCTGCCAGTATCCCACAGTCCTCTGCTGTGGCAGACAGTCATTGCATTCTCCTCTATACTGGGCTGACTTCAGGCACCACCAAAGACTGGATGCTATGAGGCAGGCAGTGAATCCTTCTCTATAACTCCATGGGCTGGAGATCAGGAATCCCTGCGTGTTTCAACCTCTGCTCTCCAGAGGACAGCAAAGTACACAGGAGAACACCTATTGTCTCCCCACTTCTGCCCCCTGCTCCCCTAGAAGTGAAGTGCTGTAGAATACTGAAGGATCTAGCAACCCCATATTGTGCCGCCTGGCTAAAAAGCACCCCCTCTGCATGCCACTGTAGTGATTTTGAAGCCCTTTGGCAGGATTAGGGAGGTGAGAGGAGTAGGCAAGAGGAACAGGACATATCTGTACAACACCACAGCACTCCAAATAGAAGCAAAATTTGGAGTGCTTCACATGCACATTTCTCCATGGGCTTAACTTCCTTACTTTTCAAATATAAGCACTGTAATGTTTTTGAAGTTATTCCCCAAAGCTATAATGTGTGAATCTTTTAAATACATGACACAAACCATAAGGAAAAGAAAACAAATATTCAGGCTTTATTCCAATTCCTTGCCAAATATAATGTAGTAGTCTTTCTTCCCAAGATTATAAGGAAAATGGTTGTCTTATTTCCTCAAATCTGGTCTGGCAAACAAACTCCTTTTTCTACATAATCACCACTAATGAATACTATGTACAAATTGGTCTGTAACTGACCCAGACGCAGCCTCATTGACATTGGTTCCACTGTGCAGGCAGAGAAGAGGGCAGCCAAAAGGGGGGAAAAAAGAGTAAAAGTGAAGGAAAACGAAATGTAGCTACAGTCAATGAAAAGCAAGGCAGCAAACTCCTATTTAAACCTATTTTAACTTTCTATCATTGACCTTCCTTTTGACCTGCTACTGGCATTCTCAAACTGCTATTCTTCCCCAGGGGGTGTGAGAACTGCACAGAACTTTAAAAGTTATAAACTTTCATATGTTGTGAATTTCTGCAGAATTAGGGATGTCCTGGAACAGCGTACAAAAGGTACTACATCCATATCAATCAGTATACCCTTGTTGGTAAAATGGGACTTTTTAAATAAATAAGGGACTTCTATTATGTCTCTCAGGCCCCTGCCAAATGTGGAAGTGAAGATCCAATGGGATCTGATGTGGGATCCCCACAGTCCAGATCCTGCCATGCTATACATGCATGACAGAAGGTGTGAGCCTAAGATCCAGCATCAGATCCCACGATGCCTTATTGCTAGTGATCATGATCCCACACTTTCCATTCACTAGAAAGTATCAGGCTCCTACAGCTGCCAGCCTCCTCAGCTGATTCTGTCTCCCAGTTGTGGGGGTACATGGTGCGTCCCCATTTGTGGGAGCCCCATCAGCTGATGGAACTCCTGGCATTAGGGGCCCACCCCATGCCTGGGAGCCCCCATCACCGGGCCACACGCAATTCAGTTGTTAATTGAATAATTCATTGTGTGATAGGAACCAGCCACAAAGTTATTACACATTTTCTGTCTAACTTTGTAGCTTATGCCTTGTTTTATCACACCATTGACTGCATTAGATATGTTCAGAAAACATCTTAAGATATGATAAACTGGTCTTTAGGATAACGTAGGCCAGAGGCCTCAGGTAGTGTATGATGAGGAGTCTTGCCGAAACACAAACTACCCCATATCTGCTAGAATGCATACGGAAAACATCAGGAAGACCTGGTGCAGAAATACATGGTTGATTTATGCTTGCATACACGCCTTCGTCACCTCTTAATGCAAGAATCAGCAAGGTAAAAAATAAGAACATTCACTCACAAGATATATATTTTGAAGCAACCTGCCAAAGTCATTAAGATAAAAGTAAAATCAGAAAATCAAAGTAAGGGAAGGAAGAGGAGAATATGAATAGTAAAAATAAAGAAAAACTAAGATTATTTACAGTTGGAAACAATACAATGGCATAAAGCAGATTCTGGATGTAGACGCATGGCCTTAGAGCAAAGCTAGCTTCCTCAACAGCCCGTATATACTTCTTCATAAATCTACTATAACATAATCCAGCTCTAGAGTTGGCTTAGAGTTTATGTCCTGTCCTTAAGTCACAACTGATAAGGATTCTTCTGTATACTCCATCACATACAGTTACATAACAGAACTAACTCTCTCTCTCCTTAGGTCATGTATGATAGTAAATATTAGAAAAGCTCCTGAGATTTACCTGTTGTAGCAATCCATGGTGGAAAGGTGGTGGTAACACCTGTCAGTGCAATAGAGAACAACATGGAAATGAGGTCTACAGACTAATATTGCAAAAGACAGATTCCTATACACAGTAATGTATCAGTATAGCCTTCCTTCCAGCACTGACATTCTCTAGGTCTGGCTCTTTCCTGGGTGCTTTCCGCATGCATACCATGTTAAGAAAAACAGGATGTTATGCTGCCTCACTTGGGACCATGTTACAGACACGCTTACTCATATTATGCCCAGTCTCATCCATTCTATGAGGCTCTTGTTACTTAAATCTATGACAACTACTTTCAGTAACTGGGGTTTAGGGGGACAGGGCATTCGGCTATCTTGTAATCCTGTAATCCTTTTTTCTCCAGATGGGGGCTTTCAAACTCCTTGGTTCAGGTACCACCAAACCAGTCATTCATGCCTTCTATTCTCCCTTATCATTCGGTTGATAACTGTCAGCACCTCTCCATGCTTGCCAGCGGTGTAAAGTGCAAGGTTCAACAATCTCCAGCTCTCTGTTCTACCCAGTCTAGGCAGGGTAATTTACTTCTTCCAAGTATTTTTGGAATTTCAAAATAACTTTTGCAATTAGTACTCGGACTTTTTTGTTTTCATTATATATATTATCACTGATAATGAAATTCAAACATTAAGTGACATATTAACTGACCCATAAGCAACCTCTTTGTTTTAAGCAGCTTTTGCCATGGGAAGCCAACTGAAATTCAATACACAATTCTGGTGACCATGCAGGAGGAGGAAACGAATGGAGCTAACTTTATCTTCCCTGTTGAATTTCAAGGGCAGATTGAGATTAAAGCCTTTGGTGACATCACTTCTGTTTTTGACTGTATGGAGGGCATAGGTCTATTTAGAGACAGAGTGCCTATAAACACCTGCACTTTTCCTTCCTTGATGTAAAATACAAAGTAAAAAAATTAAGCACCCAGCTTGCATGATCAAAGCTGTACAGAAGGATCTTCATTTGCAAAACCTATACATCAAGTAGCCTACTGCACAAACTTAACAAAACACCCCACTGGTGAGAGCCCCATCAGCTTACACACTTCATGGCTGGGAGTCCGCATCAGCCTGGCCACACGCAATTCCACTGATAATTGAATAATTAATGGTGTGATAGGAACCAGCCACAAAGTTATTATACATTTTCTGCCTAACTTGGTAGTTTATGCCGTTTTTATTACACCATTAGCTGAATTAACACGTTTCCAGATATAAGTCATGATTAACTGTTCGTTTTTGTCACATATGCTCAGGGCCTCAGGTATTGTATGATG